TGTGAATCTAAAAATTATAGGCATGAATTATAGGCATGAACAAATGTTTGAAGATTTAGAATGTGTCCACAGTTCTACTTAAGGAATAAGCATAGTTACATGTGATGCAAATTCAGTAAATACAATGACACTTGGAGAAAGCACTCTGCCAAGCGTCTTGCTGAAAGCTTACCCTCAGTCTGGCTTTCAACCCAAGAGTTAATCTCCTTTCTGATTCGGTCAGAAGCTTCCACAAAGTTAACAGACTGTGGCTGTGCACCAAAATATGTTTTCATGTCTTCTAAATATTTCTGAAAGACATAGGTAAAAATCCCCTTTTGTAGAGTTTGTCCAAAACTGAGAAATCAAACCTGTTTAGATTATCAAAAGAACTAGGTAGATTGGACAGTTGCAAACTCCCAATGCATCACTCCTTTCTTTTTTACCCCATTCTCAGTTTTGGTCAAAAACTAACCACCACCATCTTGAAACTTAGCAGGGTGCTGACTAGCCATGTAGAGCTCCAGGTGTGGAAGGAAGATCTGACACCCACAGTTTCGGGGCTTCCACATATTCTATTTTCTACTTTTATTCATGCTTGGGAATGAAGCTAGAATACAAATGGAGGATGCTATGAATAACAGGCGTGATTCCAGTTGCTGGTAGGTACCGGGAGTCTACTAGGCTTTCTGTGGCAGGGATGGAACCAAAGTAAGACCTGTGGGTCTGGCAGCTTCATTCAGTGAACTCCAGACATTCAAGAGTTTTGTGGAGGGTTCCTGAAGAAAACTATATTCTACCATGAAAACTGACTTTAAGCACAGTCAAAGGTTTTGCAAATGGATTTCTAAGCATGGTCTAAAGTTTTATTAGGTATTCTGAGGCAAAAAGCAAGGCCCCTTCCTTCCGGCCCTTTGATGTTCACCCTGTGGCAATCATCCTATGTGGGCTGTGACTGAGGTTCCTGTTAATGGGCACCAGCTGGGGAACAATTCATTCTTAAGGACAGCTGTGATACCCCTTCAGTTTTCTTACTTTATGGGGGGCTTGTAGGCAGTAAAAAGTGGTGAGTTAATGCTTCTTCCAGGAAGTGGTTTGACAATTATGAAGTCCAAGTTACTTGGATTTTATAATCTAGCAAAAAGAAAACTTAAATATTTTCAAGGCACTATTTCCTGTCTTGACTCAGGGTTTGTGAACATGTAAAAAGAGGTTTGTATCTCTGTATCCCTCTGGTTTCCAAGTGCCCACTGAGCTGACTCATCTGTCCTACTTTTGACTCAAACAGGAGTCCATAAACCCATCAGTAATGGAATTGTCTTTAATATTCCATTTGACTGGTTTTCTGTCTTCAGTAATAGCAAAGCCCAAGTCCTGAACTCCCCAGAATTCACTGGATACGGACATGGATAGCACTGCTTGAAAT